GCTGGCGAGCGATCACGATTTTTGCGCATCAAAAATTTCTGAAATGTTCAATGCCCCTGCACACATTGATCGCTCTACTCTATTGGAAATGTCGCAGAGTAGCTAGGCGACAATTTTACTCAAGCCAAACTCATTTCGTACACCAAGTTCGCTGAAGCTCGCCACGTCTCAAGTCGGAAAACCCGTCGTGCCTTTTGAGGCGCCTCGAAATTCCTTTGAGGAGCCTCATGAACCTACAACAAAGTTGACCCGTCGTGCCTTTTGAGGCGCCTCGAAAGTCCTTTGAGGCGCCTCACGAACCTACAACAAAGTTGACCCATCGTGCCTTTTGAGGCGCCTCGAAAGTCCTTTGAGGCGCCTCACGAACCTACAACAAAGTTGACCCGTCGTGCCTTTTGAGGCGCCTCGAAAGTCCTTTGAGGCGCCTCACGAACCTACAACAAAGTTAACCCGCCGTGCAGGGCTTGTTATGACAAGCCAAGGCAGTGTCATATTGCACAGACAAGTGTCATGTCGCATGTGGGCTTGAGCACGCACAAGTGTCGTGTCGCATGTGGGCTTGAGCACACACAAGTCCGACACACTCCAAGGGCAAATGGCGAGTCGAGTTTTACTTGACTCGTTTTGACGAGTTCTTTCCCTTTGACGAGTCGAGTCGAGTTTTACTCGTCGAGTTTTTTTGGTCAAAATGCTGACTCGAAACTCAGCCCCAAAGTCGAGTTTTTTGAAAACTCGGATGAGCCTTAAAAAAACTCGTCCGAGTCAAGTAAAACTCGACTCGAAGTTAAACACTACCCTAACCTAAAACCCCAGCCACACGAAAACAGTTGTAGGGTGCCCAGAAAACTGCCACACGCATCAACACCCACAAACGACCCAGCCAGCCCCACCTCTCCTCCCCCCTTTCACTTTCCAAAAAAGCTACTCACCGCCACGCCAGCTGCACTAGTGTTCACAATTAAGTGGTGGAACACATCCAAAACAGCGAGCCACACCTCCAGCAGCATATTAACCCAGAAACAGACATTTGTACCCCCCCGTGGTGGACCATTTGATGCACGAGTTTTTTAAAACTCGTCTAGGTTAAACAAAACTCGTGAGTGAAAAAAAACTCGCGAGTTATGGGTAACTCGCCTGTCTAGCCGAGTTTTTCACGAGCTTTTTTAAACTCGCGAGTAAAAATCGACTCGTTTTCACGAGCTTTTTTTACAAAAATCAGAACTCGAAACTCGTTATTTTCGAGTACTTCAAACGAGTCTAGTAAAAACTCGACTCGTTTGCCCATGTGTTCTCCAAATGTGTCGGGCAGTGCAACAGAATGCCAGCCATTTTTGCCGGACCAGCAACATGTTCTTTGCGCTTCACTCTCTGGCCGTCTCACCTTAGTCCAGCCTGCAGGCTGATTTCTCCAGCAATCAAAGCAGTGGGCAGCTCATGTGGGCATAACGAGCTCATGTGGAGTCCAAGGCCAGCCATGAGGCCAAATAAGCTAGGGAGAAAGGTCACGTTGCTGATTAAGAACTATTGTGAGACGTCTCGAAACAGTTTACTATCACAAGGCCAGCCACGAGGTCAAATACGCCAGGGAGGAAGTTAGAACTTAACCTAGTTGGCCCCTTAAAGTAAATCCTAGCTGGTCCCCAGACTATCGCGACTTGGAAATCCCTGAAGGTTATTGTTGAGTCACCTCAAATGTCATGTCGCCTCAGGCTGCTGCTACTGTTGAGGCGCCTCAAAAGTCGATGTTGAGTTGACTCAAAAGTCACCTCAGACTGCTGCCGTGACTTGGATGTCTTAAAGGTATTGCACAGGGTATCTCACAATAACTCAGATCTGAAAGATTGGCAGAGGGGTAGTAGGTAGGATGGGATACTCACAACAAGGCGAGCTTGGTAAGGTGAAATATGGCCGAAGGGATCGTACCCTCTAACTTGTTGGTTCCGAGATTCCTATTCAGGCGCAACATGGGGCACGTGACATGACATGGCATGAGAAGCAGTTGATGTAGACTGAAGGCATATCCAAGCAGTAGAGAGGTGACTTTTGAGTCGACTCAAAATGTGTCGTGTGCCATGCCATGGTAACGAGGTGACTTTTGAGTCGACTCAAAAGTCAACATGGGGCACGTGACATGACATGACATGACATGAGAAGCAGTTGATGTAGACGTGAAGGCTTATCCGAGCAGCCGAGAGAGACCGGTACAGCATGGGCTTATTTGTCATGAATGCACAACACACACTCTTTCCTGCTGTCACTCGTTATCATCTCATGCGATGCAACATTGTGCATTGGTTGGCACTGAAGACTGCTATTAGGCATGCCCATGAGTTTTGAGACGTCTCAAAAGCCACAAATGACTGGGCTGCTGTTGTCGAGTTTTGAGACGTCTCAAAAATCCAACATTGTGCGTTGTTTGGCACTGAAGACTGCTAGTAGGTATGCCCACGAGGGGTTGCTCGTCCTGCCCATCAGGGGTTGCTATCATTCATGCTCGTCATGCCCATCTGGGGGTCAGTGAGGGCTGACGGTCAGTGAGGGTCACTGACGGTCAGTGAGGGTCACTGACGGTCAGTGAGGGTCAGTGGGAAACCATGAGGATCCTGATGCAGGAGGGGGTGGGTTGAGCCTGAAAAGGGTCGCCCTCAGTCAGAGTTTCTAAAAGGTATCGCACACAGAAAGAAGATTGGCAGTGGTGGAGAGTGGTTCTCACAGCAAGGTGAGATTCGAGAGGCGAAAGATGGATGAAGGGATTGCTCCTGTGATCTTGTTCTCCTCGAGAGACCTATGCAAGCACAGCACAGCAAGGTGCATGTGGGGAGAAGGGCACAAACAAGGCGCATATGGGGAGCAAGGCACAACAAAGTTTATATGGGGAGCAAGGCACAACAAAGTTTATATGGGGAGCAAGGCACAACAAAGTTTATATGGGGAGCAAGGCACAGCAGGGGCATATGGGGAGCAAGGCACAGCAAGGTGCATATGGGGAACAAGTGGCGTGGGCACGAGGTTATACGGAGCAGTGCACAGCGGGAGCCCCATGCATCTGGTGTTTCCAACCGCCAAATCTTGCCAACCCTAGATCTGATGGAATTGTCGGGTCAAGGGGCTTCCATGCTAGCATCAAACGTGACCCAGGAATTTCGGGCTGCCCCACAAAATTTTTGGGCTTGTGGCACGCGGCATGTATGAGATGGCATGGTCGATGGACAAGGTGGGACATAGAGGCTTACAGGTGTGAGAGGGCAGCCAGGTCACCAATGGCTTCCGGGATGGAGCCTGACAGGGTGTTGTAACTGAGAGTTCTGCCATGCCGTTCAGATGGGGTGGGGAGGGAACAAGGAGCAACATCATGTCATGTCATGTCATGTCATGTCATGTCATGTCATGTCATGTCATATCATGTCATGCAATGTGACGTCATGTGGTGTGTCATGTCATGTCATGTTATGTAAGTGGGTCGCTTGGCAGCACTGCAGCAGCCGAAGCCAAAGCTGTGGTGGGGAGCTGGTTGAATGTGAGCCTGCACTTCACCATCCATTCCATCCATCCTACCATCCACCACCATGCATGTACCATACCATAACGACTGTGAAGCTCACCGCTACGATACCATGTCTGTCGTCACTCGCACCTCACCTCAGCTCAAAACGCTTTCGAACCGCCTCAAAAGTTGCACCATCCATCCTACCATAACCATGAATGTACCATGAGACTCAGCCTTCACAGCAGAGCCATGGGTGGTGCATGTGTATAAGTGGCCACGAGTTGCGCACTGCTCATGTTGAGGCTTGTCACGCCGCCTGGTTAGTGAAACCACTGTGTTTCGCCCAGCTGAGGAAGTGAGACACCATGGGTGGGAGCGCATGTTTCCAGCTTGCCTTGCCATGCATGGAATGATGGATCTGGGGTGCCTCGGGAATGGAATTGGCCATAGCATGGCTAGTTGCTACTCACAGCTCTTCTAAGCGGGTGAGGCGCGGCACAGTGGGTGGAAGGGAGCCGGTGAGCTTGGTGCTTGAGAGACGCCTGGATCAATCAAGGGAAGTAGTGTGTCATGTAGGGGAAGAGAGGGAGGCAAGGCAAACGAGATCCAAGAAGTCTGAAGTGACTCAAATATAGCTGGTCTTGGATTTCCTGAGATCGTGACAGAGACCTGGATCAAGGAAAGTTGTATCGTGTATGTATGAAGCGGGGGAGGTAAGGCGCTCTGAGACGCAGGGCCAAGAACCCCGGAGGTGTGCATGCATGGCATGGGAAAGTTTGGCATTGGAGGGTGTATCGCAGAGGCGTGTGAGGCAGGAATGGAATGAGGAGAGGTTAGGAATGGCATGAGGAGAGCTTAGGAATGGCATGAAGAGAGGTTAGGAATGGTATGAGGAGAGGTTAGGAATGGCATGAGGAGAGGTTAGGAATGGCATGAGGAGAGGTTAGGAATGGCATGAGGAGAGGTTAGGAATGGCATGAGGAGAGGTTAGGAATGGCATGAGGAGAGGTTAGGAATGGCATGAGGAGAGGTTAGGAATGGCATGAGGAGAGGTTAGGAATGGCACGCAGAGAGGTTAGGAATGGCATGAGGAGAGGTTAGGAATGGCATGAGGAGAGGTTAGGAATGGCATGAGGAGGGGTTAGGAATGGCATGAGGAGAGGTTAGGAATAACATGAGGAGAGGTTAGGAATGGCATGCTGGAGATAGGTCAGGCCAGCCATGGGTGGATGGAACTCGGTTGAGGATTCTCAAAAGTGCGCATGGCATGGGAGTGGGTGGCACTGTGGTGGTTGTACAAGAGAGGCGCGTGCGGGGAGAAGGGAAGAGGTTAGATATGGTATGCTGGAGATAGGCCAACCATGGGTGGATGGATCTCATAGTTGCATGCTTTTACATGCATCGCCTCATGCAGGAGCATGGCCTTACATGGCATGGGATTAGACGGCATGGTCACGTATGGAATGGCCTCACATGGCATGACCTCGCATTGCATGACCTCGCATTGTATGACCTCGCATGGTATGACCTCGCATGGTATGACCTCGCATGGTATGACCTCGCATGGTATGACCTCGCATGGTATGACCTCGCATGGTATGACCTCGCATGGTATGACCTCGCATGGTATGACCTCGCATGGTATGACCTCGCATGGTATGACCTCGCATGGTATGACCTCGCATGGTATGACCTCGCATGGTATGACCTCGCATGGTATGACCTCGCATGGTATGACCTCGCATGGTATGACCTCGCATGGTATGACCTCGCATGGTATGACCTCGCATGGTATGACCTCGCATGGTATGACCTCGCATGTTATGACCTCGCATGGTATGACCTCGCATGGTATGACCTCGCATGGTATGACCTCGCATGGTATGACCTCGCATGGTATGACCTCGCATGGTATGACCTCGCATGGTATGACCTCGCATGGTATGACCTCGCATGGTATGACCTCGCATGGTATGACCTCGCATGGTATGACCTCGCATGGTATGACCTCGCATGGTATGACCTCGCATGGTATGACCTCCCATGGAATGACCTCGCATGGTATGACCTCGCATGGTATGACCTCGCATGGTATGACCTCGTATGGTATGACCTCGCATGGTATGACCTCGCATGGTATGACCTCGCGTATCGTTGGCACACTTGGCATGGCCTTGCACGGCACGGCCTCTGAAGGCATGGGCTTGCATGGCATGGCCTCACATGGCGTGGCAAGGTGCGGCGTACAGTAGAGTGAGTGCGGTGAGGTTCCCAATGGCATCTGGAATGGGCCCCTCCAACTGCTTCTTACTCACGTTCCTATAGGGGGGCATGGGGAGCATGAAGGGCATGGGAGGCATGGGGGGCATGGAGGGATGGTTGCATGGGGGCATGGCATGGTTGCATGCGGGCATGGTCCAGCAGGCATGGTCCAGCAGGCATGGTCCAGCAGGCATGGTCCAGCAGGCATGGTCCAGCAAGCATGGTTTATGAAGTCACTTCCCCGGCTGCCCACACCAGAATATCTGGCCTGGAATCATGAATTCAACTGGAATCATGAATTCAACTGGAATCATGAATTCAACTGGAATCATGAATTCAACTGGAATCATGAATTCAACTGGAATCATGAATTCAACTGGAATCCTGAATTCAACTGGAATCATGAATTCAACTGGAATCCTGAATTCGACTGGAATCATGAATTCAACTGGAATCATGAATTCAACTGGAATCCTGAATTCAACTGGAATCATGAATTCAACTGGAATCATAAATTCAACTGGAATCATGAATTCAACTGGAATCATAAATTCAACTGGAATCATGAATTCAACTGGAATCATGAATTCAACTGGAATCATAAATTCAACTGGAATCATGAATTCAACTGGAATCATGAATTCAACTGGAATCATGAATTCAACTGGAATCATGAATTCAACTGGAATCCTGAATTCAACTGGAATCATGAATTCAACTGGAATCCTGAATTCAACTGGAATCATGAATTCAACTGGAATCATGAATTCAACTGGAATCCTGAATTCAACTGGAATCATGAATTCAACTGGAATCATAAATTCAACTGGAATCATGAATTCAACTGGAATCATAAATTCAACTGGAATCATGAATTCAACTGGAATCATGAATTCAACTGGAATCATAAATTCAACTGGAATCATGAATTCAACTGGAATCATGAATTCAACTGGAATCATGAATTCAACTGGAATCATGAATTCAACTGGAATCCTGAATTCAACTGGAATCCTGAATTCAACTGGAATCATGAATTCAACTGGAATCATGAATTCAACTGGAATCATGAGTTCAACTGGAATCATGAATTCAACTGGAATCATGAATTCAACTGGAATCACCATCCCAGAAAGATAAAAGTTCTGAGGCGCCTGAAAAATGTCCACAGCAGACCCCCAGCTGACTTTTTGCAGGGCAAGCGCCTGCACTCACGAACCCAACCTGACTTTTCATCCGTATTGGAATCGCTTATTCTAGGGCCCTTGTTTTCTAGGGCAAGCAGCACACACAGGGAGACGATGAAGCCAGCGGCATTGCATCGCACGCTCTCCACCTGCATGCAGTCCCGTCCCCCCACCCCACCTCACCCCCCTAAGCCCCCCCCCCCTCAAACCCTCCTCCCCACGCACAGTGAGACGATGAAGCCAGCAGCATTGCAGCGCACGCCCTCCACCTGCGCGCAGTCCCCCCCCTTGCTCCATCCGCGCAGCTGCGCCTGCCACTGCCTCTGACACTCCGCCAGCACCGCCGCTGCGGGGGATAGCCGCGGGGGTGGGGGGGAGGGGGAAAGAAATTGGGATGAGCAAGCGGGTTGGGAGGAACAGGATTGTGGGGAGAGCAGAGGTGAACAGGGGTGAGCAGGATTGGGAGGAGGGGGGGGAAGGATTGGGGGGAGCAGGGGGAAGAAGGTTTGGGAGGAGGGAGGAGGGATTGGGAGGAGCAGGGGGGAAGCAGGATTGGGAGGAAGCGGAGTGGGAGGAGCAGGGGGGAAGCAGGATTGGGAGGAAGCGGAATGGAAGGAGCAGGGGGGAGCATGATTGTGAGTAGCAGGGGGGATCATCCTCCCTAGTTGGGGGGAGCAGGATTAGGAGGCGAAAATAGGAGGGAGAGAAGGCACGGAGGGGAGGCGGCTGTGGATGAGACTATGGATGGATACACACGCGGAGAGGGTGGCATGGTGAGTAGACTTTTGAGTTGACTCAAAAGTCACCTCGGAGGAGAGGCGGATGTGGATGAGACGATGGATGGATACACACGCGGAGAGGGTGGCATGGTGAGTACATGGTTAAACGCAGCGTTCTAAATTGCGTGATGGCTTTTGAGGCGCCTCCAAAATCACCTCAATGAGGGTGGCTGGCACGGGGAGTAAACGGTTCAACGCATTTTAAAATGCGTGATGGCGATGCATTCACCAGTGATTTTGGAGTTAGAAAAGCCTGGGAAAAAATAGATATGGGAGAGTCAGGAAGTGTGTGACTTCCGGAATGTGGGAGAAAGCACGCCCTGTGACGGGCGGGAAGGTTTAGGCGCGTCAAAAATAGTGAGGAAGTGTGTGGGGTCCAGGATGACGTTTGTGAGACTAAGATAGGACGGGAGAAAACACGCTACTACAGGCCGTAACGGGCGGGGAAGGAAGCTGGAGAGACGCAGCGGCCGCCGCTGGACCCGCTGCGCAGCATTGGAAACGAGGCGAGAGGTGGGCTGGTGCGTGCGGTGCGGCGTGGTGTAAAGTTAGGGGTAGATTTTCAAAACGTACGCGTTTTAGATCATAAATCGTAAATGTACGGGTCCTAAAACATCGATGATCTGTCACGGGAGTGGTATTTGGAACGTTTACAAGAGGCAGCGCCGCGACCGACCTTGCGAGGGGTTGAGCGTTACGACAGCCGAGGACGGTGAGGCGAGGGAGAGTATGAATGCGATGAGAATAACGGCGACGCGACGCGACCTTGCCATCGTGGATGCATCACAGCCGTTGTTTCTGGGTTCGTGTCAGTCTAGGGGTTGTTGCCCTACTCAGAAAAGACCTGCACCAAACTAGTACTGGACTGTGCAGTTCTTCTGTCCATGTGTAATTTTCTGACAACGCCTGGTTTCGTGCCCAAACCAAAGTCAAGCCCACCTCCGAAATCAACCGAACGTAAGTGAAGGCATGTTTATAGGTCGGTAGGCAGGTTTAAAGTCTACTTTTCGCTTAGAGATCGAGTTTTTGTTACGTGTGCGTTACAAGTGCATTTGATGCATCGGGTAAGGATTGCACTAGAGAGTCAAGCGAGTACAAATGTGAGAGAAGGCATGAGCAAGAATTTATAGCGAAGTAGGCTGGCACGGAATGACGGGCTGATGTACCAATCGGCGTGTAACAGGAGGTGAGTGATGACGGACGAGAATGTGGCTGATCATGAACGGGCCACGGAAGCGAGGGTGTAACTTCGGTACTATAGGCATGCGAATGATCTCTGTGTATCAAGCAATATGAAGTCTCTTGATTGGTATGTGACGGGACGAAGGTGGCGATCGGCGTTTCATTTGGCGATGACATTTGTTTTTATATTAATTCTGCAGCGCAGGTTCGAGCAGCTTATAGTTTCTGTCAGAATATATTTGCTGTCTAGCCTGCAGTGGGGTACTCTGTAATGAGTACAACCCAATTTAGGGCAAAGTACTTGTATCCCAACTCTTGCTAGTTACTTCACTTCCCTTCCAATTTCTCGACTCTCACCTAACCCACTCGAACTTACCTATCTCCTAGTGTGGGCCTAGGCTACTAAGCCTAGGCCCCACACCTAATATTTTCACATGGTATCAGAGCGGTATTTTCCTTAGGAGCGATGTCGAGTGAGTTGAGAGAGAAATTGGTGAAAAGGTGGTTCCACTATAGGTTCAGGGGTACATATAGCATAGAAACAAAATAAGGTGCACCACCAACAAAAGTTTACATAACTACACTAACTACAACTACAAGCAATTATAAAACATGACAAAATATTTCGACACGCCCCCATAATGCTTGTAGGTAGGTATGTAGTTACAGCAACAGCACGTACCCCTACCATCTCCTCACCCTCCTCCATCCCCTCCCCCACACTGCTGCAGAAGCAGCAGAGAAAGGGGGAAGAGAGGAGAGGTGGAGGGACGGCTGCTTGTTGCCTCACACCCGCCACCCCGGTACCACTCCCCCTCCTCACCCACATCCTCACACCCTCCTCCCCCAGCGGCAGCTGCAGCGGTGGGACTGAAAGAAGGAGGAGGGAAAGGGAGAGAGTTGACCCCACGCTCCAACACCCTCCACCCCCATACCCTCCTCCCCACGGCTGCAGGGAGACAAGAGAAAGGGGGGGGGTGGGAAGGAAGAAAGCCGCAGAGCGGCGAAGAGGCGTCGGTGCAGATGGGTCAGGGGCGGCAGCAGGGAGTGCAGGGGCGGAAAGGCCCGTCGCGGGCCAGTGCCACGGGGCGCACGACGGGTAGAATAAAAGGGCCCGATCGTGTGCCTCGGGGCACACGACGAGCAGGGCACCATCGTGTGCCACGGGGCGCACGATGGGCAGTAGAAGGGCACCGTCGCGTGCCACGGGGCGCGCGACGGGCAGGGAAGGAGTCACACGCCCGTGGGCGGGACAAGGTAAAAATAAAACCGTCACGCGCCCTAGGCGCGCGACCGTAAAATCTTAGCAGCGGAAGTAAAGCGGGCCCACAGGCCAGGACGAACACTAAGCTCCGATAACATGTCGAGAGTAATAGAAATGAAGAGTTAAAAGGTGGGGCCTAGGCTTAGTAGCCTAGGCCCGAACTTAGGTATCGAGCGGCGAAATTTTTTTTAGGATTTCGGAGTTTTTCATCCCGCCGTGCGCTCGGGGCGCGAGGCGGTTTTCCCGTCCTTCGAAGCGCCCTCGGGGGGCCTGCGCGCTGCCCTCCCCGCTGCTCGTCGCGACGCCCGTGCGGGACCCGCCCGGCGTCACCCTGCTCGTCGCGACGTCCGTGCGGGACCCGCGGGGCGTCGCCCCTGCTCGTCGCGACGTCCGTGCGGGACCCGCGCGGCGCCGCCCTACTTGTCGCGACGTCCGTGCGGGACCCGCGGGGCGTCGCCCCTGCTCGTCGCGACGTCCGTGCGGGACCCGCGGGGCGTCGCCCCTGCTCGTCGCGACGCCCCATGCGGGACCCGCGGGGCGCCGTCAGTTCCTGCAGCAGCAGCCGCCGCCGCCCTGCAGCAGCAGCCGCCGCTAGGCCTACAGCAGCACCCGCCGCCAGGGTCTGCAGCAGCAGCCGCCGCCAGAGCCTGCTGCAGCAGCCGCCGCCAGGGTCTTCAGCAGCAGCCGCCGCCAGGGTCTGCAGCAGCAGCCGCCGCCAGAGCCTGCAGCAGCAGCCGCCGCCAGAGCCTGCAGCAGCAGCCGCCGCCAGAGTCTACAGCAGCAGCCGCCGCCAGAGTCTGCAGCAGCAGCCGCCGCCAGACCTGCAGCAGCTGCCGCCACCGACCCAGCAGCAGCAGCCGCCGCTCTATCAGCAGCAGCAGCCGCCGCCGCTCTGCCGCAGCAGCTACCGCCGCCCAGCTGCAGGTGCCGCCCCTGGACCCCAGAAGCCGCCCCTGGACCCGGTACGCCTTGTGCTGCCCGTGCCTGTGCTGCCCGTGCCTGTGCTGCCCGTGCCTGTGCTGCCCGTGCCTGTGCTGCCTGTGCCTGTTGCTGCCCGTGCCTGTTGCTGCCCGTGCCTGTGCTGCCCGTGCCTGTTGCTGCCCGTGCCTGTGCTGCCCGTGCCTGTGCTGCCCGTGCCTGTGCTGCCCGTGCCTGTTGCTGCCCGTGCCTGTGCTGCCCGTGCCTGTGCTGCCCGTGCCTGTGCTGCCCGTGCCTGTGCTGCCTGTGCCTGTTGCTGCCCGTGCCTGTGCTGCCCGTGCCTGTGCTGCCCGTGCCTGTGCTGCCCGTGCCTGTTGCTGCCCGTGCCTGTGCTGCCCGTGCCTGTGCTGCCCGTGCCTGTGCTGCCCGTGCCTGTTGCTGCCCGTGCCTGTGCTGCCCGTGCCTGTGCTGCCCGTGTCTGTGCTGCCCGTGCCTGTGCTGCCTGTGCCTGTTGCTGCCCGTGCCTGTGCTGCCCGTGCCTGTGCTGCCCGTGCCTGTTGCTGCCCATGCCTGTGCTGCCCGTGCCTGTTGCTGCCCGTGCCTGTGCTGCCCGTGCCTGTGCTGCCCGTGCCTGTGCTGCCCGTGCCCGTGCTGCCCGTGCCTGTGCTGCCCGTGCCTGTGCTGCCGGTGCCTGTGCTGCCCGTGCCTGTTGCTGCCCGTGCCTGTGCTGCCCGTGCCTGTGCTGCCCGTGCCTGTGCTGCCCGTGCCTGTGCTGCCTGTGCTTGTTGCTGCCCGTGCCTGTGCTGCCCGTGCCTGTGCTGCCCGTGCCTGTGCTGCCCGTGCCTGTTGCTGCCCGTGCCTGTGCTGCCCGTGCCTGTGCTGCCCGTGCCTGTTGCTGCCCGTGCCTGTGCTGCCCGTGCCTGTGCTGCCCGTGCCTGTGCTGCCCGTGCCTGTGCTGCCTGTGCCTGTTGCTGCCCGTGCCTGTGCTGCCCGTGCCTGTGCTGCCCGTGCCTGTTGCTGCCCGTGCCTGTGCTGCCCGTGCCTGTTGCTGCCCGTGCCTGTGCTGCCCGTGCCTGTGCTGCCCGTGCCTGTGCTGCCCGTGCCCGTGCTGCCCGTGCCTGTTGCTGCCCGTGCCTGTGCTGCCCGTGCCTGTGCTGCCCGTGCCTGTGCTGCCCGTGCCTGTGCTGCCTGTGCCTGTTGCTGCCCGTGCCTGTGCTGCCCGTGCCTGTGCTGCCCGTGCCTGTGCTGCCCGTGCCTGTTGCTGCCCGTGTCTCGTGCTCGCGCCCCCGTGCGCTCTGCTACTGTCTGCGCCCTCGTGCGCACTGTCCCCCCCCCCCCGTTTGCGGGTGTGGGGGTGCTCCGTTTGTGTCGCCCCTTCCTTCTCCTCCTCCGTCGTCTCCCACTGCTGCAGCTGTCGCTGAGGGGGGTGGTTGTGTGGGAGACTGGGGTTTAGGGTTTAAGGGGGGTGCGTGGGAGTGGAGCTAGGGGTGTAGCAGCGGGTGTGTGTCAGGGGGGTGGGACTGTTTGTGGGAGGTTGAGCGGAGGCTGCCGTCTTGTAGTCCGCAGCACCTGTAGTCCGGGGCGCTGTCCTGGTAGCCCAGTGAGCCTGCTGCGCCTGTCGCCCGTGGGTCCGTTGCTCCTGCCGCTCTTCGTAGCCGCCGAGCCAGTTACTCCAGTAGTCCGGGGCGCTGTCCCGGTAGCCACTGTGCCAGCCGCTCCTGTTGCCCGTGTGTCTGCAGCTTCAGCAGTCGCCTCCCATCTCCTCTCCTCTCACTCTCCCTCCTCCTCCTCACCTGCCCGTTGTGACCACCACTAGCTTTGCTGATAATTGTGCACTTTAACTATTGCTTCTTGAACTTGTGCTCAGAATGTGTGGTGACATTGTGATCCACCCTGAGCTTGTACTGCTTTGCCTGCTCTGCTGATTTCACCCCACTTTGGCTATGGGGGTGTGTCAGAATATATTTTCTGTCTAGCCTGCAGTGGGGTACTCTGTAATGAGTACAACCCAATTTAGGGCAATGTACTTGTATCCCAACTCTTGCTAGTTACTTCACTTCCCTTCCAATTTCTCGACTCTCACCTAACCCACTCGAACGTACCTATCTCCTAGTGTGGGCCTAGGCTACTAAGCCTAGGCCCCACACCTAATATTTTCACAGTTTCTCAGCGAACTGTTGCGCGCGTTGTGTCGAGTGTCCAATGTTGTAGTCTTGGTGAGGTGTGTTATAGGGGGTACAACTGTTAGGGTTAGGTTTATGTACCCCAACCAACCTTAGTCAAAACCATCATTCAGTTTTAAACATCGAGTTGTGTGGGTTCGGCGTCATGGGTACTGTCGGGTTCTATCCGTAACTATGGTAAATTCGATGAACGGTGATTGTTGTTCCTATGTCGTGGGATCGTCACACGTGGTGCAAATCAGCTGCTCCATTGTATGATTCGTTCGTTCTACATGTTCGTCAGTCTCGGGGTGGTATGCTGAACTGAATTATGGCATCCGATTGTGAGGATCTGGGATCGAGCTCAGAAAAGATGATTCAAATTGAATTGAATGATCACCTCGGTACAACACGAGGCTATATATAGGCTCGACACAAGGCCCCGTAACCAGGTGTTACGCGAAGGTTCCGCGGGTCGCGAAGCGTCCCGAACAGATCCTTACCGAATTCGGTAGAAGGCAATTCGGTGGCAACCGAAAAGCCAGAATTTGGTGCACGCAACCTAGCTCGGTGCTATAACTATAATAAAATATAGGAAAGCACCTAGCCTAGGAAATCAAGCAATTCATGCATGCATATGATTATCCTATGCTAGAAATAGCATGATAAAGTAGAGGCAAGCAAGCATAGCTGGCATAAGCCGTCGTACTCTCACACGTCCCCCCCTTAAAGCTGGGTGGCGTGAGATACACCCTGCTTGACAAGATAGTCCTTGAGAGCACGGCGTGCGTTGCCCATATCAGCTTCTGCAACCCAACTGTCCTCAGTGGGGTCGTATCCCTTCCAGCGTATCAGGAACTCGAGGGTCTTGCCACCGCGGCGCCGATGGGTGAGAACGCGCTCGATCTCGTACTCGGGTTCATCCTGGATGAGAACAGGTGGTGGTGGCGGTAGTTGCCGTCCCTGGAACTGTTGGTTGGGGTCCTTGTAGGGCTTCAGTAGCTGGACATGGAAAGCGTTGTGAAGCTTCCATGTATTTGGTAAGCGCAAGCGGAATGTAACTGGTATCACCTGTGCCTCAACGAGAAAAGGACCATAGAAGCGAGGCCGGAGTTTGGATGGGAGGTGAGACAGGTTCAAGTTGCGCGTGTCAAGAAGCACCTGATCTCCGACTGCTACTGAGTGATCACGTCGCTGACGATCGGCATACTGCTTCTGGGAGTTCTGCATCGTGGTGAGACGTCGCTGAGTCTTCTCCCATAGCTGCTGCATGGTGGTGACGAAGTCATGTGCGGCTTGGACGTGTGCCGGTGTAGTTGGCTGCTGTGGTGTGAGTGGTTCCCGTCCGTAACACAGGAAGAAAGGAGTTTTTTCTGTGGCCGCATATGATGCGTTGTTGTAAGCGAACTCTAGGGTCGGTAACTGTGTGTCCCAGTGGCTGACGTCGTCCTTGCAAGCTGTGCGCAGTAACTGTTCAACCACTTGATTGATTCGCTCTGTCTGTCCGTCAGTCTGGGGGTGGTATGCTGAAGACATTGCAAGCTTTGTCCCCAACAGTCCCATGAGCTCCTTCCAGAACTTACTGGTGAATTTTGGGTCTCTGTCTGAGATGAGTGTAGCGGGGATGCCGTGGATGGTGATGACGCGGTCGAAGAAGAGGCGAGCAGTTGCTTCAGCTGTAGCTGTGGCGTTGGTCGGTATGAAGTGACCCATTTTGGAGAACTTATCGATCACCACGAGGATGGAATCGTGCCCCCGTGAGGTCGAAGGAAGTCCTAAGATGAAGTCGAGGCTAACGACCTGCCATGGCTGCTCCGGTACGGGTAGAGGCTGAAGTAACCCTGCTTTTTTTCTGCTTGCTGCTCTTCATCCGCTGGCACGTGTCGCAAGAGGTGACGAACTGCTGCACGTCTGCTGCCATCCCGGGCCAGTAGTAATACTTCGCTATCCCTGCTAACGTCTTGTTGCTCCCGAAATGTCCCGCGTAAGGTACGTCGTGAAACTCCTCCAATAGGATCTGCCGTAGCGGGGCGTAATTCGGTACCCAAATCTTTCCTGAACCCTTCCTTACAGCTAATTCTTTCTCCCACTGTAATAGCTTCTTACTGAGGTAGGCGATGGGCTGCAAACTGCGTTCGTGATGCTCCATGAGTACTGCTCCGACTGCTTGGTGACTAGCGTCTGCTTCCACCACGTAGTCTCTGTCTGGATCCGGTAGGATGAGTACTGGCGCTGTAGTCAGTGCTGTCTGTTTGTTCAGTGCGCGGTAGTCGATGCACATCCGTAAACTATCGTCTGGCTTTGGAGTGAAGAGAACTGGTGCACCGTAGGGAGAGGTGGATGGGCGGATCAGTTGTCTGTCTAGTAGATACTCTATCTATTTTTCATGTCTGTCAGTTCAGTTGGACTCAGTCGGTATGGTGCACGTGAGACGGGTTTCGCACCTGGTTCCTCCACGATCTCGTGCTCGTGGGTGCGTGCTGGAGGTACGCATGCAGGTAGGTCGTCGGGCATTATATCCTTGTACTGCTCCAAGACCTCTTTCACTGCTGCAGGTAGCTCGGAACTTGGCTTCTCCTCCTCTGCTGCTGCCATAACCAGTGCTAGGTAACCCGTGTTACTCCCGTTCACCGTCTGTTCGAACCGTGCCAGTGTCGTTTCAGGAACGCTCCCTGTAGCTCCACTCGTTTCCCGTTGTTGTAGATGCACGTTTTCCGGTTGACCCATTCGATCTTGGGGTTGAACCGCTTCAGAAAATCTTGCCCCAAGATGAAATCTAATCCCTTGATGTTCGTGATCGGCAACGTCGGCTTCCACCTCAACGCCCCTATCTGCAGCTGCAGTGTTGACTTTCCGTGGATGGGAAGCTTCGTACCGTCCACCATCGTTGCTGTAAACTGGGTTTCTTCTTAGGATTCTCCAATTTTCTCCAACGTCCCGCGGTCGCACACCGAGTGGGACGCACCACTGTCCACCAGGGCCTGGAGGCGACGCCCGTTGCAGATCACCTCGAGTACTAGTGGTTACTGCTGCTCCGAGTATCCGTAGATGGTATCGCTTATAGGATCGTAGGGTACGTCGAATATGTTATCCCTAGGTCCTGCGCTCAAAGATGCAGCTTCAGTATCAGTTTTCAACTGAGAAAGGTTAGAAGGATTTATCCGAGGCCGATTCGGCTTCTCTTGGGCCTGGAACCTTCCACTAAGCCTTTGCAGCTGTGTAGGCTTCATCTGTGGGGTACAGGGAGCCTTTAAACAGTGCTGCTGGGAGAGAATTGTTAAGAAGTGAACGAGAGAATGTGTGAACTATGAACGAAGTGAGTACAAATAGGAAACCCTAGCTGGGTTGTACCCCCTATGGGATACCCCACTATAGCCTACACAAATAAGTAAGCTATAATGTTCTGACACACCCCCATAGGCAAAGTGGGGGAGAACAAGGGGTCACAAGACCAGTCAAGCAAAGCAAAGCAAAGCTCAGGGTGGATCACAAAGTCACCACACATTCCGAGCACAAGTTCAAGGGCCACAAGGCCAGTTCACATGCAAGATCATATATATAGAGATATACAAGAGTCAAGCAAGCAAGAGCAAGACTATATATATGTGACGGTACAAGGAAGGTCAAGAAGTGAGCGAGTGAGGCAAGACAGACACAAGACCCAGCTGCGTGCAGCAACGCTGATGATCACAAGGCGCAAGTGCCTTGGTGAACACATCAGCAGTGTTGGCCTCAGAGGCCACGTACGCAAGTCGCAACTGTCCACGCTGCTGTAGCTCACGAGCAAGAAAGTAGCGGAGAGCAATGTGCTTTGTCCTGTGCTCCAGTCTCTGCTCTCGACACAAGGCCAGCATGGCCTTGTTGTCTACGTACAGGACTGGAGGAGAACGAGGCTGCTCTCCAAGGTCAGTCAGCAGGTAGGTGAGCCAGCGTAACTCCTGTGCAGCCATAGCCCCAGCGTAGATCTCAGCCTCACAACTGGAGCCGAGAACAGAAGACGAGCGGGTAGCCCGCCACGAAACTGAGCCGGAACCAAGGCTGAAGGTGTAACCCTGTGACGACCGCTGCGTAGCCTGGTCGTCAGCCCAAGAAGCGTCTGCGTGCCCAGTGAGGACCACTGGACTGCGCCCTCCAAGCACTAGCCCCATGCCTGACGTACTGCACAAGTAGCGCAACACCCTCTTCGCTGCAGCCATGTGCTCTGGTCGGTGTCTCCCAGGAGCAACATAGCGTGCGAGAATGCTAAGAGGGTATGCAAG